TTTTAATGTGTAATGTTCATATCTTGTTCTGGAACGTTCTTGAAGGATGGACGATTGGTCTGACGTTATTAACGACCCAAACAAAGAAAAAACCTAATATCAGTCCAGCCACCAGACGTTTATTTTTGAATTACGAGCTATCAACCTAAACATATTGTACTAATAATAACATCATAACCAATCCTAAAACATTCTCAATTTTTAAGTTTTGTAAGTGAAATCTTCAGTGTACCGAACCGAAGGAGAGACAGACAATTACAAAGTCCAAAATTATAGACAAGCAAGTTCAAGGTACTGATAAAACAAATAAATCCAATACTCAGTAAAATAATGATCTAAATAATAACACTTTGGTATTTATTGATCCTCTGATAACCATGCCTTTCCCCTTACACTCGAGTAGGCCAGCAATCATCTCCACGGATTACCTCTTTTGGTCGTCTGTTGATCTGACACTTTAAAAATATGTTGTTTGCTATTTGTATAATTTATTTCCTTGAAAAAGCTAAGCGAAGTATGATAATTAGAAGTATGTGAATCAAAAACTACGGGATAAGCACGAACGAATGTACTGTATTTAGAATTCGAAATCAGGCATTTCACAACAACAAGAAGTCACTAGTTCATTCAAACACCACATCCGCCACAGCTTAAATTGGAATCCAAGTGTCTGTAATCAATTGTACGTCTTCTTCTCAAATTCATCCTGTGTCTGTCCGACAGTGTATTGGATAAAGACTCTGTATTATCTAGAATGCTCTCGTTAGTATTAGAATTATCAACCGAAATTGGGACAGACTCACCTGGTTCCTGGAATTGTATTTGATCAACATGTCGATTGTGTGTACTTAATTCATTAATATCTAGAAGTAGCACCATAGATTTCCCGACATTCTTCAGAACAATCCCCGTGGATGGTCGAAGATCATTGCCACGATAATATGTAACTTCTGCAGACTCCAAACATCTCATATTCGACCGAAGAATTCTTCCTTTTAATAGCTTTGATGGAATCTCTTTCGTCACCGAATGTCTGGCATTTCTATATTGCAGTAGAAAGGTATCTACTCCCCTCTCCAGCTCATTAAATGTTGAGGCGGCAATAGAATCAATAGCAGTTTTCAACGTCCTGACAAAATTTTCTGCCTGACCATCGGAACAAGGATATCTGGGAGCAGTAAACAGATGTTTGCACCCTATACCATTAAACCAGGTAGTGACTGCATCTGCAGCAAAATGAGTGCCGTTACCAGTCACTAACACCATTAGAACCCCTTCTCGACTAAACACCTTTCTTAATGCTTGAATTGTGAAGTCAGAATTTGGTGAAGTTGTGAAAAAAACTTCAGGCCACTTTGAAAAAGAATCAATGACTACAAGTGCATAGTATTTGCCAAGAGCGGGCCACAATAGTCTGCATGAATTCTCTGCCAGGTCTCCGACGATACTGGCCATGGAGTCCACTTCGAATGCTGATTTTTCAGCTTATGACACTTTTCGCAAATGTTTGCTGTACGACAAATATCTGCACCTATCTCTGGCCACCAACACGCGAGCCTTGTCAAGGACTTCATTTTCTCAACACCTAAATGTCCACTATGAAGATCTTCCAGGACAGCTTTACGCAATGAAGGAGGAATAACAACCCGATCACTTCAACACAAAATACCATCAGGACTAGTGGATGGCTGATCCCGCTTTGAAAAATAGATAGGGAATCTGCGTTTCAGATTAGCATTAATTATACATCCAAATTTTCTACGAGTTTCTCTATTGAGATCTGGACGTTTCACTGGTAAAGGTTGCACCAACGAACAGTCTGAAGTATTAACAGGTTTATTTTGTAATGACTGTCGAGAAATGTAGTCAACATGTTGAATTCGTTTGACACTCCTGTGCTGAACCGTTTTCATACCTCCACTGCACTTAGCACACGTGGCTATCAAATCTTTAAGTAAAGCATCAGAATTTTCTTTAGAAACTAGGAAAGACAACTCCACTTTAAGTCTTCTCAAATTCTTTAAACCCAGTATTGACAGTCCTGTTTCACTAACTAAAAATTCACAAGGTATGTATGAGGAATTATCATCTCTTATTAGCAATTCACAACATCCTCGTATAGGCAGTCTGTGTCCAGTAATCCCCAATATTGATACTTCAGTGGGTCGTATCACAACGTTAGGATCCAACGATTTCAAGTTCTTGAATGAAATAAAGAGGGAGGGTGGTGTATCTGACCAGCATTCATGACGGTGGGGCGATAACCTCAATCTACCCATGTCTGTGTGGCAGAACATTTTGTTTGCTTACGGCTCCTTACGATATAGCAGGATGTAACAAATCAGTGATATTGATGTTACTTTTCCTTGTTAACCTCGTCTACAACCCATGTTTGTAACCTTGCACTGGTTTTTACTTCCTACCGAGAAATCCTATTACAAGCTGGTCTGGACAACTATACTAAAAAAGAGCTCATTCATAACTTCTTGAGCCTCAGAGTTAAAAATAAAAAGAATAAATAAAACCAAAAAATTATATCACTAATCCTCTTTATTATATTTTGTAAATCAACTTTATTACTAACAACTTGGTTCTTCTGAATTTCCTCGACTCTTTCGACTAACTTCTCATTAGTTATCTCACTACTGAAGTGTCTTCATTAACCTACATAAGCGCAGGTGTGTAGTGTTCTGATATTAAAAATGTTTGGGTAAACATACCTTTGTTTTATCCATAAACGTATGTGCGAAGCCGTTGTTCGGCTTTGAACATGAATATTTTCTGTTCTGCTCCTCGTCCCGTTTTCTTTATTCCTCTTTTTTCAGAACCTTATTCCAATCCACATATATTAGTCTGGATATTTGCAGTAGACTTGGTTACCCTACCCAAGAACATGTGATATCATTAGCTGACGAATATCAACCAGACCTTTGTACATTTACCGCATCAATTCTTGTTATATGAAAACCTGTCTGTACCATGAATCATTTCTCAGCCCATATGATCATTGTCGTAACTCAACCTTCGTAACTTGCGCCAATTACTCGCTCGGTACATTCCATCTTTAAGAAAACAATGAATCTTGTGAAATGTTTCAGTAACTTTATACCGTTTTAAAAAAAAAATATGTTGCTAATCTTAACATTTTGATCTTGCCTGTAAATTGGCATGTCTCTTGTAACATGTTTGTTATTTGAGAATAAATTATTATTATTATCATTATTATTATCATTATTATACTGCCTGTGTCCACAATAAAGTCATGACATGAACGAAGCGATGTATATAATCGCTTTTGAATATGAGCATTACCTTTCGAAATGGTAGTCAAAGATAAATGATCATTAGGATCGGCTGAATTATTGGGATCTAAATTACAAGCTTTAGTACTACTTGAGGCAAAATGAACAGTAGCTTTGCATACTGCCTGAATGTGTCCTATCTTACCACATCTAAAACATGTAGCATTACGAAATGCACATGAATTACGAGAATGAAGTTTTCCACGTGATAAACATTTGCCAAACTTGGTCTCACCTTTGTGATTTCCTTTGTAATTCTTTATTGAAACACCGTTCATATTTACACGAGAATAGGAACCTCTGTTAAACGAACACAATTTTGATTGACCCTGAGATTGTTTTTCATCATGACAACTAATCAAAGTATTGGAAATCTTCATCGACTGAATATCAAGTTCATTCAACGCCTCATAATTAATGCACGCAGTTCTAACATCTTGAAAGGAACAGTTTGACATTCTTAACAGCTCTCTTTCCAAACTAGGTATGGTAATTCCTGCAATTAATCGGTCTCTCAGCTGCACATGAAGTTGATCACCGAAATTACATTTGACAGCTTGTTTCTGCAATTCAAGAATGAATTCCTTAACCTTTTGGTCATTTTGACGAATCATCTTACTAAATTTCGCCCTTTCACGGCATTCAAAACCAGGGCACTTTACATGATTTAATAATAACTCCTTAAGCATTGCATAGGGAAATGAGATAGGTTTTTCTGGATATGCCAAAGTTTTTAATAAGCTGTACGCTTCTTTTCAGATGAATGTCAGGAAATTAGCCACAATTTTATCATCTTTGACATCTTTCCTGGTCATACTCCAGATTTCAAACCTTTCCAAATAATCTTCAAAAGCTTCAGAAGTTGAATGAATATCTAACTGTTCCATTACAAGCTCCAATGCGACGCCAATATGATAATGAGAAGTATTGGAATTGTTGTATTAACTAATAATCCAAGAAACAACGTAAGTGAATCAAGAACTACAAGATGAGCACAAACGAATGTACTGTATTTAGAATTCGAAATCAAGCATTCAACAACAACGAGAAGTCACTAGTTCATTCAAACACCACACTAAGGCACAAAGTCGCAGATGAAATATGATTCGATTTAAAAAGAAAACTCCGCTAGGACATACGTAGATAATTTAGGCGAGCGCAGAACTAGTAACCTAAGCTGAGGAAATGATCAAAACAATTTGGCAATTAAAATGTTATTATGCACGGAAAACTGCACTGATTTAGCAGAAGTAGTACAGCAACAGGTTGGCAGGGATAAACGAATGAAGTGAAACAAAGATCGTTGCAGATCCTGGGACTTAGTAAATGTACAAGTAACCACGAGGAAATCTTGATCTTTAACCGAAGAAGCTGTAGTTAGAAATCACTGGGTGTTCTTTTATTACTGTAAAAACATAATAGTTAGCTCGATTCACAACAAGTTTGAAATGCATACACAATTTTTAGAACACTCGTATCTCTGTTTAGCGAAATGTGTTTAGTTTAATTTCTAAAACAGAAAGTTATTGCTTCCGCAGACGTATTCAAGAAAATCTGTGTAAACCGGCATCCTAGCATTCTACGTTATGAAACAAACTGAAACCTGCCCTGACTGGGAGATTATTTGAATCTCAAAAACCAACGTTTGCGCTACCAGAAAATTAAATATGTTCAGCTTCTCCTCAACCAATAAGTGTAAAAAGAAACAGTGACAGGTTTATACCTGACGTCCCACAAGATAACCGACTGCATGTCGGTATATGACGTTGTACATCGAAGTGTACGCGGCATAGTTAAATCTTCTCTCCTCATGTCTTCAATTTCACGCCTCATTCACAGACATGCAGTCAGTAATCAACCATGGCCAGCTATTTATTTTGTCTCAGTCAGTCCTTTTTTACGTGAATAATGATATTCAGACCAGGTATCGCCATTATTCCAAGGGTTTCATTCAAAGTCTCATTAATAAAGTTACAGAAGAATCAAACAAAGACACTGAGTTAAAAGTAAATCTAATGCCGTTGGTTTATTTTCTGATAAAGGAAAATATAAGAAAGTTTCGGGAAGAAACAGCAAAGCTAGAGCAATCGAAGGAGTTACGCTCCGTCCGAGAATTTTATGTTAGTTAATTTAATTGTCGACCCTCTTTTGTTTTAGAAAAAAATAGAGAAAGAGATTCCCACTGATACTGTAGAAAGAGTTCGGGATACATTTAAGTCTGTCAAAAGCAAAATTCGCAATGACGCTCAGCAACTCGCTCAGAATGAAACACTAAGAAAAGGTGTTCAAAGTTTATCAAAAGCCGGGGAGCATGTGATAGATGCCACTAAATCACTAGGTGAAACAGAAATTATGAAGGCTGCTATGAAGGTAACAGATTTAATTCGGTGTTTTATCGATAGGGCGTTGAAGCAGTTGGAAAAGAATTAGATTCAGACAGGTCTCGAATGTATCAACCCCCAGGTAGGTCATTTCCACCAGTAGTTATTTGTAAACCACCAGCTATTTTAAAAACTAGAAGTGAAGTGTCTGGAAAGAATGAGGAGCGATTAATACAACCGGATAGGTGAGCTTTATCATATAATTATGAGATATCCCCACCCTTTTTTGAATTATCAGGATGTAGCTCCTTAGCTGTCTTAATATTGCATTTCAGCAGATTTTTGATTTTAAAATTTTCACCACTTAATCTGTACAGTCGAATTAATTTATGCGTTTTTTCCATGTGTTTGGACTTTGCGTCTGGTCAGATTCGCATAAGTAGTCAGTCATGTATGACGTTATTTACTATAACAGTTAGATGAACTATTGCGGATGACATAAAACTTATGAATTTTCCAAAGACCGACTTCTTCCCTAAGCACTGTTTATGGTGTTGTTTTTCGAGCTTAAAAGTTAGAATCGTTACTAGGAGCATATCTCACATCCTGCGATCCGTCAATCGACAAGACTAAGTTATGGACAAAATTTGAGCCATATTGGTGTCCTCAATAAGCCTCGACAACTCACTACGACCAGGATAGAGTTATAAGTTAGTGTAAGGAATTGAGACTAGGAGTAAGAATTGGGACCTGTTTGACACTCAGTTTCGAACCCGATTATTTTGCCAATGAACTGAAGTCTCACCAATCAATGCACGCAGTCATACCGTATTATGTTGAAATTTTAAGAATTCCATTTTGTTAGTTTGATGTAACAGTTATTTAAGTTAGCTAATATTCAATAACAGCCCAAATGTAACCACTTAATGGGTCCACATACTCTGTAATTCATTAGTTATGAAATAACCTGGACTTTGTAGACTAATCAACTTTAAATAACCAATTTAATAATAAATATTTACACAAGATATACAGATCCGATATTATAAAATTAGTTACGTGCGGCATTATTTCATTCATAATATCAAAAGTCATGGACTTTATTCTTATTAATATATTCAATGTACGCATTCAGACTATCAAAGTTTATAATTTACGCCCCCTCATTTGTCAGCTTTTTGTGAGTGTTCTCGTTGAGTTCATGATTACTTTACAGTATTGTCTTTGGGTTGTATCAGTGTTTGTTTTTATGAATAACCGTCAAGTCAAATTTCCGTCACACCTGGGTACAATGAAATAGTAGCTGGCATCACAGAATTGCCCGAAATATTCCGTCCGTAATTTCATTTACATACCGGGCTTGATGTCCTATCCTTTTCATTATTCAGTCTTGTTTCTTCCAGTTTTGAGGTATATTACCGTAAAGCATACTATCAGTTGGTTAGTGTTTACTTTAGTTTCTACTTTCGTGTAGAAATGTCCATTCTTTCATAATATCAAAAGTCATGGACTTTATTCTTATTAATATATTCTCTTAATATCTGAGATAGTCTTCTAGTCAGTTGTAAGACCTTGTGCACCTGGAATAAATTATTTGCTATATATGCCCATCGTTGATAAAAAAAGTCAACTATTTTTCAAGCTTAATGTGTTCAGATGAATTACTGCCAGTTTAGTTAGTTTATTCAATGTACAACTCCGCCTGTAGACCTTTCTCAGCTACTACCGTTCCTAGGTCCGGATAAAGGATGAGGGTTGAGATGTAGGTTGGAGACCCCATCCCAGAAAAACTAACTTGCCAAAAATAACTTAACCTATATAAACTCTACTCTGGGAGTTAGGTCTTCATTTAGAAGAATTATGATTAGGCATTCAGGATTACTGGGGATCGTGGGCAGCCGAAGTGTGGCTCGAGGCCAGTTGAACTGATCCCTAAAGTGTTCTGCCCATCGGTCCAATCTCCTGGATTGACGATAAATGATAGAGCCATCCTTTTCTGAGATAGACTCACTCACATTTGGGTTCGTAATACCAGTTTCGTTGATGAGTCTGAATAGTTGCCTACTGTTGCCGATCGTCGCTGCCTTTTCCATATCTCTCGCTCTCTACGCCCACCACTGTTCTCGATCATTGCGTGGGCTTTTTATCAGCTTACGTCTAAGCTGACTCTGCTCCTCATCGCACTCAGAGCCAGGTGGGATGAGTTTTCGAGCATCCATCAGTTCGGTAGATGCGACTGAGATCCACTGCTTCATTCTAGCCTTATGGCTTACGTTACTAGCAGATATCACTGCTGTTTCCACAGCCTTTTTGATACCATTCTAACCTGCCTCAGGATGGGAATCGCTTACATGGTTTCCTAACTCTCTTTCTAGTTCCTGAAATATATTCTTAGCTTCATTATCATTAAGTAAAACCCTAAGAGGTTTCCTTACGGTGTCTTTCTTGTGTCCAGTGAGACACAAACAACCTTCCACGGTGTGGGTTGCCCGCAAGTGACAATCGCCCTCATACCCGTAACAGCACACGAGTCCAAATTGGTCGAAATCAAATCCTTCCTAATAGTAGGTTGGGAGAAAGCTAGGGGTGGCCAAACCAAAAGATGGAACAAACCCTTGAAGTCACCGACAAATGGACTGAATCATGTTGGCAGATGTAAGCTACCTGGTTGGGGTCCACGAGACGAAAGTAACTGATGGTTATAGACCTTGAACGACATGGATCTAAATCGTTTGCAATGGCGCAGGTGCATCCACTCTTTGTGTTCTCTCAAATCTTAACTTCTAAATTCCTCATCACCTTTATCTTTTTCCTTTTAAGTTTATTTAACTAGATTCTACTTTTCGAATAATATCTTCGAACCCCAATCTTCTCCATTACTGCTAATTCCTTTACTACCTCCACTAATATGGGGTTTGAATTGACAATTGCATCTCTGTGCTAGTATGGTACGGCTACATGAACTGATGTACGTACGTACGAAGTTCTACATTGCTATTGATTGATTGATTGATCATTCAATGTACGCATTCAGACTATCAAAGTTTATAATTTACGCCCCCTCATTTGTCAGCTTTTTGTGAGTGTTCTCGTTGAGTTCATGATTACTTTACAGTATTGTCTTTGGGTTGTATCAGTGTTTGTTTTTATGAATAACCGTCAAGTCAAATTTCCGTCACACCTGGGTACAATGAAATAGTAGCTGGCATCACAGAATTGCCCGAAATATTCCGTCCGTAATTTCATTTACATACCGGGCTTGATGTCCTATCCTTTTCATTATTCAGTCTTGTTTCTTCCAGTTTTGAGGTATATTACCGTAAAGCATACTATCAGTTGGTTAGTGTTTACTTTAGTTTCTACTTTCGTGTAGAAATGTCCATTCTTTTCTGCTGCATTTTCATAGTTCACGTCTTGAGTCCTTAAAATATATAAATTATTCGAGTAAAACCTTTAGCACTTACTCTATTGCGACAACCAATGCAAGTTCACAACATTGTTTTCTAGTAGATACTTAGGCTTCAATATACAGTAGTATTTGTATGAAAAATCTAAGACGAACCAAATCAACTTGTAGATGAGTAGTAGCAATAATCTCGGTTACGTAACTAGTCAAAAGATATAAATAATCAGTTTAAGTATTTTAGTAGTAAAGGGATGCCAAACAGGTAAGGAAAAACAAGCATGTAAGGGACGTGAAACTTGATCAAATCGTTTACTAAGTTTTATCTGGCAAAGGGATAGAGGTGTTAAAAATTTCTTTTGAACACAGAGACTAAGACTATATTAGGACAAAGTTTATTGATTAATTAATTAATTGGTAACAATTTCGTTTCTGTATATTGTTGATACAACTTGCAGAAAAGGAAATCACTTTCAACTGAGATAAATTTTTCCATTACATTATACTATTCAGTGTGAACTGTGCTTACGGACTAATAATAGATTCCTATCATGATTTGCGTTTGGCGACAAGAACTCAGTTCATAAATTCTAATCATGGTTATTGATATATAATTAACCAATTCAAGTATATGTTTAATTGTACCAAAGTCTTTACCAACAAAGCTTTTTACTCATTTTACTGTATCTAGCAAATCAGATAGGAAGCAGTCTCTCTTACCTTATGGAAGTCGAAATTACAAAATACTAGCGTAGCTCACGAAATTATCACATATTTTGAACTTACTCACAAGAAGAGAATTTTTAGTATTTTAGAGTATCTTCTTGTTAGCGAAGAACATAAATGAACATGTAAAAATAACGTTTGGGATCGAGAACGTATTTGTGTCTAATAGGAAACATTCCAGTCATTGGGGATCAAACTACACAACATCGTTCAGATAATAATCTATTTTAGTTTAGAGAATTCTCTGAATAGTTCCAAAATTAATGCCACTTGTGTCTGATGAAAACAGGAGAGCTATTTCATCTGGTACAGTGGAAACTAAATGTCCGATCACAAGTAAACAGACCCTGATTTCAACTAGGAATGATCTTTAAAGCCAACGACATATATATATATATATATATATATATATATATATATCCAGAATAGAGACAGATCACATCAAAATACATTTTGATCAGTATCCCCCACAATAAAGTGTGGTCTGCGGTCGATGGAGGTCCAGTGGAATATCCAGATAGTAAAGTTTCATTTATTACTTGTTTCTAATAACTTCCCACTAGCTATTTCCATCGATGTAAACGAACGCAAAAGCACAAATTTTAGTTTAATTGTTTCAACAGTTTTTGTTTATTTCTAAAGCTAGTAGTACTAGAAACCTACTCTAGAAAAATTAAAATACTTTTTTATTTTAGAAGTGGTATTCTTTCATACATATATTTTTTTGATATAAGATTAGCCATGAGTTTATCGATTAATTCACTTGATCATGTCCTAATTTTTAGTGAAAGTTCTGGTGTCGTCTTACACAAAGATTCAAAATGGTTCGCTGCGTGGCAAGATTTCAAGGAAAACAATCAGTACGTTCAAAGTGAGCACTATATTACTTGTTCAAACTGTATTGATTTTTGTCCGTTGATAAATTTTCTAAGAGCAAGAGACAATGACACTAAAATTTGAGGACATTACAGAAAATTCATAATGGAAATGAAGACTAGCCATACAGCTCTTTGTCTAAGAATGACTATTTTTTCGCTCCTGTAGCTTTTTATTTAATTACCTAGAAATTCAAGATAACTCAAACAATCGTCAACATAAAATTAGACCATTTAATTCGTACATCAACACATTTTTCGAGGGTTTATAAAATTAAAGCTATCAACGTTTTGCAGTTCATCTTTTTTCTTAAGTTGCAGCTATATCTTTTTGGTGGAATTCATTAGTCTGATGTTGATAATTATTGGTCCTTATAGTTTGTACCAGTCGAAACAATCCAAAAATTGTGCTTTGGCTTTTTCTTACAACTCGACACCATGACATCTCAATTTATTTAATCACCATAAACATTCTATTAAAGGACAGATATATATATATATATATATATATATATATATATATATATATATATACATGCGTCATACAATAAAATGAAATTATGAAAATACTGAAAAACGTATGAAAAAAGTAGGTGTAAGAAATGGTTGAGGAAGAAGTTCAGTTAAAAAAATACAGCGAGAAAAGATCTCAGTTCAAAGAGTTCCCCTCACTTATATATGAAGAAAGTGAAAACACGACAGCAGCACCACCACTGGCTCATACTTCAAGCCATGTCTAATAACGTCACAAGCCACTGCGTTACACCATCCCTAGAACACCAGCCAGTGAATCTTGAAGATCCGGCAGATGTGTCTTGTATAACTTGCCCTCATATCATGACACTATGTAATGGACTGACCACCTCTTGGCTTCTTGCAACCAGTGATAGCGTAGGTAAATAACACTTGACGTAAAAATTCGTTAGGAAGCCATCAATAGTTCATGTCCAAGCCACTGAAATTAGTGTTTTGAGATGGTTATAGTGACTGAATTTTCGTGACTGTGCCCGAACACACGTTGTCGAACCTCTCCATTACTAACGTGATGTTACCGCTAGATGTCAGTAATCCTTTGGAGACGATGATGACCAAACTCAAAGGATCCCATAGTTTCTTCGACTTGGATTAGATAGCTTGAGTTTGGAGAGCATGGGGCGGAACTGCTTTAACTGACGCTTTGTAGATCCGACGTTTTGTAGCGAGACTGACATCCAGAGGACGCCAAAGATGGTGCAAATCGGCATAAACCTCTCTGGCTTTTACAAATGTGAATTGATCTTATCACTCCTACCGCCATCAATACTTACACAACTACACAGATAAACTAACTTTTCGGCCACTCCTAATTGCTCAGTACCGATAGTGAGTGGAGACATAGGGTGTTGCCAGTCCTGTGACAGTACTGTGGACTTAGAATGTGCAAAGCAAGTGCCTTACCTATGGACACTGATTGAGTGATGATTGTATAGCTTGAGTATCATTGTAGAGTGAGATAATGCCATCTGCATCTCCACACTGCTACTGCTTACTTCTATTAGACCTGTTTTCAGAACGTCATCGATGGCAAAGTTGAAAAGGACTGGTGATGTTGGGCAACTCTGCCTAACCCCACCGCTTAAATGAACAAATTAAGAGAGGTGGTTATATGCCCTCAGTCTTCATAGAGTTTTTTATATAGGGCCTTCAAGACGTTAATTAACTTCTCAGGTACACCCTTCTTCAATAGACAGTCCCAGAGAACGGTCATGTCTAACGAATCGAAGGCAAGCCTAATGTTGTGGAACAACGATACTTGGTGTGCAGTGGGTATGGAGGTGAAGATATAACCATTACATCCTCGACGGAAACAAAAACTAGCCTGCTCCTTGGTAGTCCATCTTTCCTGGGTTTTAACCAATCAATAAAAAATGACAGAAGCCTAATAATTTGGACGCCATATGAAGCAGACTTGTCCTCTGATAGTTTTTGCTTGAGTGATATAAACGCTTTTGAAAGGTAGGGATAAGCATCGACTCATTCCACGATGTTGAAACACTAATTACCTTAAGTTTAGAAACAACTTAGTTCCATAACCAGAAGTTCGCCACCATCCTCATAAAGAACCAGGGGTAACTTATTTGGATCAAGTAATTTGTGGCACTTCAAGATGTGGAGTTCTCTGCAAAATTCCGCCTCGTTGGGTGGATCAGTTGACACTGTTCAGAGAGGACAAGCTAATTTGATCAATGTCACAGCTCGACAGGCCATCTGAACGGGTCTTCGGGAGACTTTCCATCGTCCAAGACGTTAATAGATTTTATTGATTAGCGTCCCGTCGGCTCCATATGTTGTTTCGGTGACATCGGATTTCTTGTTGCTGGTGGCTGAGATGAAATAAACGAGTTTCTAGGAAGTTTTCAGATCTGGCTGCTACTTCCGATTCATTAGCACGTTCTGACCATCAGGTTTTTCTGTCTGTACATGAATTAGCACAACTACGTCATACAAAATCTACATTTGTCTTAAATGTCGCAGTTAACGGAAATAGACTGACATGCCTTAGGGAGTTTTAAGAAGCTTGTAAAAACTCAGTGCTTGCAAGCGGAGCATTTTGCAAAGACACAAGTAACTTAACTCTCCATTTCCATGTTGTCATGCAAATACAGCTAGTGCTCATCTACACTTTTCCGTTCAACCCAAATCGGTTTAATGTTCGGTTGCAACAGAGGCTTCAGCCAATTCGCTTACTTCGATCCGTTTAGGACGATGAATTTACTGGCCATCAAAACGCAAGGTAAGATTAGCCCAAAGAAGGGTGTGGTAAGAATTCAAATAGGTACTGCAAAAGTGGTCTTAGTCTTGTACACAACCACCAGCAGGGGCTGATTGTAATGTAATCAACCTGTTTAGGCTTGAAATGCTGAGGGAGGACATTGGGTACATGGGTGATAACTGCAGAAAGTTAGTGCTGGTTAGAAAGAGGTTGTACCCAGCTCAAATTCGCAATGTGGACGAAATAATAATTACTTTGAGTAAATCATGCAGCTGCTTATATAATAATGATTCGATCATGCTGACCCTACTGTAAGATAAAAATTCAGGTTCATTTTATCGTCACCTCAAGAAAATCTAGGGCAAAATATCATGTCTGATTTTAAACATAATCTTATGTTTTAGATAAAATACTTGAATGTTTTTTAACTAACTTTAGGATTTTTTGACCTGAAAGCTCATTATGAAGAAAGTGATCATTTAGCTATTCGATCATTACGGTTCGTAACTGATAAACTATCAAACCTGTTTGGTAAGTTATAAACCAGTTTTATCGTACAAATTTGTATTGTAGACTTTTAGTTCATAGTGAATATAACGTTCAATGAGCCATTCTTTTGATTTATTGAATTTTGTACAACATTTTCCACTTCACTTATTTACCCAGCTTCCCTTTGTGGATGATATAAATAATAATCATAAAGAATTTTGATCATGATTTGCGATCATTTTTGAAAAAAAGCATCTCGTTTCAAGTACCAAAAAGTAATTGTCAACTCAGTTTCAGTATACAAACATAAGTTCGAGATAATCTCAAAACTACTGATTTTGGATAATTACAGCGGTTATATTAACTTCCACCACTTGTTTAACACAGATCAGTCAGTCATTCAGTGTAGAACCTAACACATGCATCAACCCCAGTTTGTTCACCACATTAAAACAGCAAAAAAAGTTATTGGTGATATGCTCATGTTCTGTGGTAATAGTTATGCTACTCCAACTTCAATGCCGTGAATTCAAACGATTCTATTGACGTATGATCTTTGTACTGCTAACTCAGATAAAAACAGTTATGCATAGGAAACATTCCTAATATCGATCTAGTGTAATCAATAAAAGTACATTGTTCTTCGTTTTAAAAATGATTCGAATATCTAAACTGAATGACTTGACACCAAACCCGAAACTGATGTCTCGTTTTGGTTTGGCCTATCCATCAAACTTTCTTACACCAGAACAGCATCATCTATCGAAGAATGTAGTGGTTGGGCATACGTAACACACGTTCGGAGCAACCTAATTGATGAAGATGTACGACTCTACCAACTAATTAACCTTTCTTACCTTGTATGCTATGCCTAACCTCAACATTGCGAACTCTGTGGTGATGAAATACACAGGCGATCAAATCAGCTCAGTTTTAGATAGTTGCAGACGCCCAATTAAAAACTAGTCACATGCCCATAAACAATAAAATACATTTTTTAGTGCGAAAAATGTTAGTAAAATTAAGTACCCTTTGAGGAGACATCACGCACAACTCTCATAATCCTCTTAACTAGATATTCAACTTTAGAGAATTCTCGACTTTTTTGGTTTAGTTGTTTACAACTAACCAGAATGATATGCGTCGCAGCAAACACTTATAACTAAAGGTCTTTGTGACAGAATCTACATTAATATATCTGTGTCTGTGCCGGTTCGGTATCATTATTAGTTGTTTATAATTCTTAATAATTTCCACAAAGTTGTCAATGAAGATTTTTATGAACTTTTTCCATAGGTGGTCTTAAATCACCAAATGATTTACAACAGGTGCTGGATGAAATTACAAAAATGGACCCTTCTTTTAATTTGGAGTCTTTTATACGTTATTGCCGATTTATCGTTATTCCGAATGTGCTTGAGGTATGTAAAGCACATCTGAAATGGATTGTGTTAAAAGCTGCAGGTGACCGTTATTAATTTAGCATTAATACTTCAAAACTCTTGTTAGTGTCAAAGGGAAATAATCGCTCTGCATAAAAACGTTTATTTGTGTGATAAAATTCTAAGAATGGTTATATACTAATGACAACGTTTTATAAAATAAGAATAAATTAGTACATAAATTAGATTGATTTCGTTTAATTCGAAATTATACACTACCGTTTTTAAACACAACATGCTAATTCATTACAAATTAACAGCCTTTAGAACAACTGATTTACAAAATAAAAATGAAGTCATAAATGTTCAGTTAATTTTGTAGAAGGTTTCAAATATTTTGATTAACACAATCAGGTTTATTCGACTAGTATGAAACACAACTGAATGTCATACTAATCTGGATGTTTCATCATTGGTACTGTTACATATACTACCAATCCATAAACCGAATCTTTCAATGTATCTCACTGTCACAGCGTAATAGCAAAAACAAGTTAACCACTTAAGGGAGTCATTATTCTTGTCTGTATCAAGAGGAGGAACTTTTCTAATTTTGGAAATCACAAATTATGACCTGTAATATATTCTCATTCACTATTTAACCTTGTTCAAAAATTGACGAAAGACTGTCCCTACTTTCATTAATCCATTTTATTGGTGTTTACATACAAAGAGGCAACGGCGAGTGTCCCTAACAATACGAGTCCTCACTGTCCTTTTTAGTCGAACAACGAACAGGCGACTGTCTACCGGGATCCAGTCTGTGAGAGTTAGTTCTACTCGAGGACTCGATGCTATACCTACAACAGCGAGGCCATGGAAAGCAGCATAAGGGCTTTAAAGTACACAAAGCGTAAATCGAGTTGATGCTTTGTTTTTATATGGCGCTTTAAAAATTATTGATTTTACTATAATCGTGTATGCGCGTTTCCGAGATGCAGCATACATCGATGGCGCGAGATTCCTAAGTCCTAGCTAAGGAAGCATGTTGCCCTATTTGACACAATGTCCGCACATTAAAACCTCCAAACTGTTGTCTAGAAGGGAGATTCAGGTGACTTAAAATAACGTTGCGGGAACTCGCATCGTTTGCATTAGCGGTACGGGGTGATAAAGGAATGTGAGAAGGGTTAGCCGTGGGAATAAAAGAGATGTTAGGGGTGTAGGAAAGATTTGTTTGTAACCATTTTCGTCTCGCATGCTGCTACGGGTATGAGGGAGGTTGTCACTTCCCGACTGCACACACCGTGGGTGTTTCTTGATGAACGTGAAAAGGAAGGTAGATTAGCGCCGGTCTTAGCGACCTGGGAGCGTGATCGCAGAGTCCAAGGGACAACTGCTTGAGCTCGGTCACGCATAGCCTTCTTGTGAGTTTTTAAAGTGTTATCTCCGCTCTTTTGAAAGGCCCCACCGCTGGAGACGGAAATGTGTGACATTTTTAGGGTCGACCTTTTCTAACCCTTGTGAGAAGGTAAAATCGCTGCCGATGCCGGTTGTCCGAGGGAAACACCTTACTGCTGCCACACCCCTCTGCAGTCAGCAGTACGACTCCGCCGTCAGACCTTGAGTAGCTGCTTTTAGTCTCATCGTTTTCCAGTCGACTTGCCTAGCATGGTAGAACCTTCAGGAACATATGTTCTAGCCAATATAGCTCGGTTGGGTCATTACGATAGGCAAGCCTGACCACCACGACAAGGTAGCAGCTACGGTCGGGCAAATCGGATACACTTATATGGTGATACTGATATCTCTGTTGTGATTTCGCACATCACAATTAGCACTCCCCACATTATTACATGACAACTATCAATGCACTAGGTATTCGTGTATATTATATTTCGGCTTGTTAGTCCAACCGGAACAAATGTACTTATGATCTACTCTACTTATGCAGTCATTAAGATTATCACTGTCGCATATTCTTCTCACCAAAAAACTAATTATTCATTAAAAATATTCATGTTTCCGGGTGTGAATACAGTATTTAATCGATGTAACATTTAGATTTTCAAACCTACGTGTAAACTGATCGTTCTGTTAATCTGGTTATCTAAAAGGTTTCCTAAGTTTCTGAGGTCAATATATATTTTTCGTATAATTCATCTTATCACTGATTTTTATTTATATTTAGGCTATTGTAAGAGGAGACTTACATATTCTCCAGGATTGGTGTCATGAAGCGGTATGTTCTCTTTTTATTTCAATATAATTATGGTTTAATTAGCCGTATAATGTGCTCGCAACACCGTTGAGACAAATTAAGGAATTTGGATATATCTCTGAATCTCGTATACTGGATGTACATAATGTTGATGTGAGTCCATTCTTCTATTCCTTATTTAATATTATTTGTCGAAAACGATCATTTGTTATTTAATTCATTTACTATTTGCTTAATAAAGGCAGTAAGTAAACAGTTTAACCATCATTAAACTAAAGTATAAGTAGAATTAGCATAATTTCTAAGTTTTAAACCTTCACCTACACAAAATAGGGCTTTTCCTTCATTCGTATTTCTAATTGTACGGGAAAGTGAAAAGTTTGATGTCTGATTTGTTTACTAGTTACAATTGATCTTTATGCAATCAGTTTTTCATTAACTTCACTTAATCAATAATTTACTGTTTGACCGTTCTGTTATATCAACTAGATCATGTGTTATCTTACAAAAGCTGAAAAGCACAATCATATAGGTAATTAAAATCCACAATGACTCATATGTGCTGCTTATGACACTAAGGCAATTCATTTTTGAAAATTCATAGTTGTGATTAAAAAGGCTTTTATAATGCTTATTCTAGGTTCAAATGGGCAAAATGATGGAACAAGGACCAGTTCTATTAATCACATTCCAAGCACAACAAATAAATTCTATTCGTGATAAAAATGGAATTGTGCGTGAAGGAGATGCAAACAAAGTATTACGTGTGACACATGTTTGGGCTTTGTGTCGTGATCAAAATGAAATGAATCCATTAGCAGCTTGGCGTGTATTAGATATTGCCATGATGCCATCTGAACAATGGATGTAATATTTGTCTTGTATTATCACCGAAAATTGTACATTTCAAATGAGAATTGTCAGATATTGTATTATTAATTTGCAAACATTTAAAATATGTGTACAGCTTGACTACTTAATCTTTGTACAACATGCACATTTATGCAAACATAAGTTGATCAATATTTTATGCATAATTTCGTAACTTCTACACGAGGCATTTGTATTTAAGTACTGAACTAGATCTTAGTCTACAAAATGAACGTGTTTCTTTTTCTTTTTATTTATGTAGTTTGGAATCATTTCTTATCCACCTTTCGCTTCAAAGCAGTTGTAATTCTTAATTTACTTATTTGTAAAACTACATATTTCAATGTTTCACAACAGATAAGAGCTGATGAATTGAAACCAATGGAGTGATCACGTACTAGATATAAAGAGCACATGCATAAAAAGTTAATGTAACGAAATCTTTATTGATCTTCACAAGCCAACATTTTGTATAAGTGTAAGGTCACTTATGTATTCCACTTTTTATTGGTAATAAAAATACTGCTTTGTCGAGTCAAATTCCGATATGAATAGTTCGAACGATAATTTTTTTCTGTTGACAAATTCAGACATCTCTTTGATGAAGAATCAGTCTGAAAGGCTACTACAGGATTGAAGTCAAATTATAACCCGTTTTAATACTAGAAATCTTATTACGTTTACTTAACATTATAGCCTAATCGAGGTGAATATTCTGTACGGTTCCATGAAAACCATGGAAGAAACAACTCAGTACACCGACAGGTGCTAAAGGAGTAGGTTACAGGGTGTGCAGTATATTGCAGATTTTGAGAAGTTGGAAATCTTTGCTCAATACTTGTCGATTTTACATGAGTACCACTAATCCTACCTCATGTCACGGTTAACCTTAAACCGCAGATTCTGATTATTTCGCGGACAGTACCTGACATATCCAAACCAACATGTGAGGATTTCCAGAACCGATGGCATATCTTTTTTGTCTACCCTTGTTTCTACCCCCAACTTACTATCATCCTAATCACTTCAGCGCGTCTTTCCAAACACAGCCACGCTATTTTTTAGCTAGTGCTTCACAACAAACCAATTCTCAATCTCCCGTTTAAATTTTTAGTGGAAATGACAAGTACGCAGATGAATGAAATAGGGACATCATCAGGTTGTGAGTCCCTATTGTACTGAAAATTGTGGTTAATAAATGCAAAAAACTGAACTAAATCACTAAAAATTATAAATAATGAAATATTACTGAAAGAAAATATCTGGATATCATATCTTTATGTAGTATTCTGAAGTACTTCTTGGAGTTCCCTTCGTTTTGCTGCTACTTCAGTTAATAGGAATGTTCTTAAATTTAAATCTTCAATCTGATTAATCTCTTTCTCGAGTTGTGTTACAATTTCACCCAAAAATTCGTCTTTATCTTTACTACAAGTCTCATTATTTGACTTCTCGATTCTCTTCATGTGGTACTGAAGTAGATTTTCTGCATATTCAATCCACACACAATTCGGGCATCCAGTCCCACAACAGTAGGAGCGTTGTGGTGGTTCCGGTGCAGAGTCACTATTCGAAAAACACGTTCGTCTCCACGGATGTAACAACCAATTTGATACAGTAAATATGGTAGACTGATTGAAATTCAGTTTACGTAATAAACCCATAGACGTTCACTCCACGAAACGTATATAAAACAAAACAGGAAGTAAATATTTATTAATGATAAAAGTTTGTAAGTGAACGAGTAATTGTTAACACAAACTAAGTGCACTAATATACTAATTATTGTACTACTCATACAACAAATGCACATTCAGATATTAGAGGTGGTCGGCACAATCCGTACATATACACTACGAAATTCATAGCATGACTTCAATTTCAGACAAGAAACGTCTATAATTCTTGTTTTGTGCTTCATAGTTCTACAAAATATGAAACCTGGGAAATAAAGTAATTGACCCAGTAAGTCTGTGCTTTTCTAAACATGGAAGTTAGGGTGGAATAGGAAAGAACTTTAGTACATCATAAACCCTAATGATGGTACAAATATACGCACTTGTTCAAAGTATTAGAAAGGTTTTGTAGTTATTATGTGGAAAATTCAAGAAACTGGAATAATGTTGAACTGAAAGAGTAGAATCGGTTTGTGAGTAAGCCAAGTCCAACATTTTGCTGAAATTCAAGATATTCGACTTCACTGTTTTGTCTTAACAGACGCTATACCGATAAACGGATTACCAAGTTTGTTGAAGGAATACATTAAGAAGACCTGACCAAAGCAACTACCTTGTCGTGGTGGTCAGGCTTGCCTATCGTAATGACCCAACCGAGCTATATTGGCTGGAACATATGTTCCTGAAGGTTCTACCATGCTAGGAACGTCGACTGGAGAACGATGAGACTAAAAGCAGCTACTCAAGGTCTGAAGAAGAAGTCGTACTGCTGACTGCAGAGGGGTGTGACAGCAGCAAGGTGTTTCCCTCAGACAACCTGCATCTGCAGCGATGTTACCTTCTCACAAAGAAGGAAGGGTTAGAAAAGATCGACCCTAAAAATGTCACACCTTATCTCACACATTTCCGTCTCCAGCGGTGGGGCCTTTCAAAAGAGAGGAGATAACACTTTAAAAACTCACAAGAAGGCTATGCGTGACCGAGCTCAAGCAGTTGTCCCTTGGACTCTGCGATCACGCTCCCAGGTCGCTAAGATCGGCGCTAATCTACCTTCCTTTTCACGTTCATCAAGAAACACCCACGGTGTGTGCAGTCGGGAAGTGACAACCTCCCTCATACCCGTAGCAGCATGCGAGACGAAATTGGTCACAAACAAATCCTTCCTACACCCCTAACATCTCTTTTATTCCCACGGCTAACCCTTCTCACATTCCTTTATCACCCCGTACCGCTAATGCAAACGATGCGAGTTCCCGCAACGTTATTTCGAGTCACCTGAATCTCCCTTCTAGACAATATTTTGGAGGTTTTAATGTGCGGACATTGTGTCAAATAGGGCAACAGGCTTCCTTAGCTAGGACTTAGGAATCTCGCGCCATCGATGTATGCTGCGTCCCAGGATCCGAGTGGCGTCATTCATATGGCGTCACCATGTCAAAAGAGAGAACCAGCTTAATTTACACTGTATCTGGAAGTTCCACTGCTGCTTACCGTGAGCTCGATGTTGTAGGTATAGCACTGAGTCCTAGGGCAGAACTAACTCTCCCAGACTGGATACCTATAGATAGTCGCTTATGCGCTGTCCGACTAAACGAGAGAGTAAGTACTCGGAAAATAGAGACATTAGCCTTACACTCCTCATTGGTCTTGCCTACGCTCCCACTGATCAACGTTCAAATGAAGTAAAAAATGAATTTTAAGGAAAGCTTTACAACCTCTTTCAGAAAGCTAAGCGCTCTGATGCAGTAACAGTAGCTGGTGATTTCAACGCTGAAGTAGGTAGTCTCAGTGAAAAGGATGTGCATCTGGGTCGATCTGATGGTGTGGCGGCTGGTCGAACAGATAACGGCGACCGTCTGCTACAGCTGTACTCTGATAACAGCCTATTTCTAGCAAACACTAAGTTTAAGCAACAGGACAAACACCTTTCGACCTTGCGAAACCGAGCGATGGACCCAACTAGATAACATCGCTATCAGCCATCAATGGAGGGGTTCAATAGAGAACTGCTGCTCATCCTGAATCACCTGTTTAGACTCAAACCATGCTCTAGTGCGAGCGCGTATTTGTTTGCGTCCTACTGGACGTAGGAAAAGTATTTTGAAGAAACTTCTTATGGCTCTATCTAACGATAATAAAGCTAATATATTTCAGGAACAACGAGAAAAACAGTTAGGCGGCCATGTAAATGGTTCTCATCTCGTGGTACTTTGGAATGATATCAAAAAGGCTGTGGAAGCAGCAGTGATATTTGCTAGTAAGGTAAACTATAAGGTTAGGGATAAGCCGTGGATCTTAGTAGCTTCCAACGAACTGATAGACGCTCGTAAACTCATCCCACGACCAAGAGCGAAGTCAATTTAAGCGCACGCTGATAGAAGGCCTACGCAATGATCGCGGACAGTGGTGGGTAGTGAAACTATGAGAGATGTGAATGGCAGAGATTATAGGTAACAGTAAACAACTGTTTAGAGTGATCGAGGAAACTGGCTTTAGAAATCCATCTGTTAGAGAAACTATCTCGTAGAAGGATGAGACTATCATTCATTCTCACCCCAGGATATTGGGCTGACACTTGAGGGGTCAATTTGACTGGTCTTTTAACCACACTTCAGCTGCCTACGACCACAGTCATCCTGAATGGCAAATCCATGTAAGTTGTCCAACTCTATGAAGTTACAAAAGCTACAGGAAATCTGAGGCGAGGGCCTGATAGGCTTTACCCCTGAGATCTTTAAAGACAGAGGTCCCGTAATAGCAGTTGAATTGTCTGAGATCTTAGGTAGAAACTGGGTACTGGACGTAATTTCTTCTGACTGGTCTAAACCCCTGTTTGTTCCAAGTTATTAGAAAGATCATAGGTCCTCTTGTGACAATAACAGAGGAATCAGTCTCACTAATATAGTCTCGAAAATAATGGTCTCATTACCATTCCGACGCTTAACTAGAGCTCGTGAAGAGCAGACATGAGAAAATCAGGCTGGTTTTCGACCTGGACGTGGATGGATAGACTACATCTTCACAACACGTCAGGTCATAGAACAAAGACAGTTTCAGACGTCCTAGCATAGTTGTATACTTGACCTTACAACGGCATTCGACTCTATTGATCGCGGGGTTGCGTGACAGTCTCTGTCGATAAAAGATGTACCGAAGAAGTACATTACCTTATCGAACACCATTGGTCGAGTTAGGGCTTATGGCGAACTGACATCGGAATTAGTTACTTCAAATGGTGTCCGTCAGGGCTGTGCACTCCATTGCTGTTTAACCTTGTCGTAGACATGCTTTTAGAGTTAACTTTATCTTCATCTGACTTTTCAGGAGTGGACCTTCTAACAGGAAGCTTGCTTGTTAACTTAGAGTATGCCAATGACATTGTCCTACTTGGTGGAGACGCTGACAAAATGCAGAGTCTTCTGACCACCCTAAGCAACAATGCAAGCATGTTCGGGATGCGGTTCTCACCCACGAAATGCAAAATTTTGCTTCAAGACTGCGTTGCATCGGCACCTGAACTAGTGATAGGGAGTGAAGTAGTCGAGCGTGTTTACCGCTTCACTTATCTGGGGAGTCTCATCAGTGATGATGGCCTAGTGACTGACGAAATCTCAGCTCGGATACAGAAGGCTCGATTGGCTTTTGCCAACTTTCGTCACCTATGGAGTAGGAGAGATATACGTTTTCTGACCAAAGGACGAGTGTACTGTGCAGCAATTCGTTTTGTCCTGCTATACGGACGCTAAGCATGGGCAGTCAGAGCAGAAGATATTCGTAGGTTATTAGTACTCGATTATAAATGTCTTCGAAGCATCGCTCATGTATCCTGGGACAACCGAGTAAGCAATGCTGTTGTTAGGAAACGAGTACTAGGTAAGGATGGCAGATCAATAGATGAAGTATTGAAACTCCATCAGTCGAAGTGTTTGGGACACGTGCTGCATATGCCACCCACCGACTGCCTCCACGAGCAATGTTTTCTGGTGTAGGAGTAGGTTGAGAAAAAGCTAGGGGTAGCCAAATTAAAACATGGCACAAATCCATGAAGCTACTGACAAGTGGACTGAGTCATGTTGGTAGATGTAGGCTACCTGGTTGGGGTCCATGAGACGAAAGTAACCGATGGTTAGAGACCTTGAACGTCATGACTCAAAATCGTTTGTAATGACTCCGGTGCATCCACTCTTTGTGTTCTCTCAAATCCTAATCTTCTGGATTCGTCAACACCTATAACTTTGACTTTCTAAACTTATCTCACTGAATTATACTTCTTGAATATTATCTTAGAATACTAAGCTTCTCCATTACCAGTAATACTTCTACTATTTCTATTACTACGGGATTTGAATTGACAATTGCGTACATGTGCTAATGCGGTATGGCAGCCTGAACTGATGTACTTACGCACGAAGTTCTACGCTGTAACTGACTGATATTAAGAAGTTAAATTGGTTACACATTTCCTCGACTAACAGTTCGTGGCAACTATGCACGATTAGCACAAAAAAGTGTCAGCTAGCCTATATAAATTATTAGCTTGACAATTACATGACCAATATATAATACAGAGATACTAAAGCTTAATGCTACGGAAGCCTAAATATGAGAATTACCGTAGACGGGTGTTGAGTTAGTACAAAAATATCAAACATACATACAAAATCATTATTTCCCGTACAGACAATACTTGAGTACAGAAAGTGACTCCAAATAACATTTATTAGGAAATAAAAATACAATAAAAACAATCTGACCATATAGTTGTTTAATAACAAATAAAGATTTGTTTGACAAAATCATCACATTACAGGAATGACATGCTTATTTCTTACTCCACTGAAGGTGAATCTGTTTAAGACGTTGATGATATCTTTCAGGGATATTTAACTCTGGGTAAATAGTAGAAAATTTACTTGAACTTAGTAATTCTTGTAAGTTACGATATACATGTGATTCAGAATCTGTTATTTCGACGTCGTGTTCAGTTCCATGATCACTTGAACATAAACATGATAAGCCGGAAAGAGAAAGATAAGTATGGAGTGGATCTAAAATGAACAAGAAAACTATCAATAAGCGATATACTATAAATTAAAGAAACTGTAGAAATAAATGTACTAAGCATACTTTTCATAGAGTTATGTCTAAGGAGGAACTTCATAAATTTTTAAACGTAGAAACAAACTGAACTTTATCAGACAAACCTCATCGAAATAGACCTTAGGACAAATGCGCGTCGACGCTAGTTCCCGTACAGCATTATCACTTCAACATAAAAAATAACAAGGTGAATTGTAAAACATATCGAAAAAAAATGAAGTAGCAGTGATAATAAAGAACGATTAAACATTTAGAATATGGTTTAAAAAAATATGAAATGGAAAGGTATGTGAAGAAATGCTGAAGATCGAGGTCAAGAACAAATGCATTTGCGTTATTTGTGAACAAATTTGAAATTTTAAATAAAATAGCGTATGCCGGCAAAATAAATTATCCCATACTGCTGTTCATTAAAAGGCTTCTGAACTGAGATACTTAAGGTTCAATTACTTCATTTAAGATTTATAATGATATATTTCGTAATGTACGTCAATTTTTAGAGATAATGGTGCTGAAGAATTTAAAACCACAAATCTGTAACACAACTGTGCAGTATAAATATCTGCTAACTCCACGACCAATGAAACCAATATAATCAAGGGAGTATATTTTTTTCGGAAAATGGAATTCTACTAACAATTAGTTGACCACTAGTCACTTCATGATTTGTGTCGTGACATGGGAATATTTAACTCAAAGATTTAAAGCTACAGGTCAAATATATTTTAAATATTGAGTCATGGATTAGTAACTAATAATTTATGTTACGCTACTCATTATATATGATTTGATAAAGTCAACGTGAGTGGTTTATGTGATCATATAGTGAATTAACTGTAAAGGACACAAAAGAAAACGAGTTATAAGTTTAGATACATCATTTTACATGTAACCCTTTTGTCTGGTTTATGTTTGAAAATTTTTTCAAAAACCTAGAGGAAATCACCTTAAAAAAGAAGACAGTTAATCAATTTAGTGCATTAGGTATGATATCAGAATAAGTGAATTTTTACCTGGAGTACAAAATTGATCAGGAATTTTTGTGAATGCTCCAACAACATCATTCCAACATCTTGTTACAAAACGAACAGTTGAATTTTTATTGACAAGATGGTGACAGTTGAGAATCTATTGAAAAAATAATTAAAAATATTGAGGTCGATGAACCTATCTAACTCTAATTAAGTTAATTTACAGCAAAAGCATTAGTTTTAAAGTTTTTTACATTGTAAGGACTTACAGATTATCTCAGTATGCATCATTATCTAAAACTCACCTGTCATTCATACAATCAAGTACATTATGCGGAACTATGACGTAAAATACTTATCACACACCATCAAAAACACTAAAAATTTCAGCCACATTTAAAGAAAAACACTTTAAGAACATAACACTAACTACACTTTAGCAAGATTTCAAATAAGTTGGTAATCAAAAGATTTAAAAAGTAGTAAGTTTTTATGCTCTAATCAAAGATTTGCACGTAAAGTGTTAAACATCTTTTTCCTAAAAAACAGAAGTTTTATATTACATTTGAAAGTGAAGAGTATTATTAACTCAATTCTCATTAGAAATCTCTTTACTTGTGAAACATTCACAATATATTTTGCCACAATATTGCCCATAATAGAAGGCGTGCTTTTTATGTGTTTATTTTCTAGATCATGGCTTTCATACTTTTAATTAAGAAATGATCTTGTATTTCATGGGTTTTTAATAATACATTTATGACAGGTTTGGTACATTTACTAGTACTATTAATTATCATACTGCTAAAGCACAAAAGGTTGCCCTTTGGAGATGGGCATTACCTGACTAAGTTATGGCAGCCTAATAAGTGAAATATATATATATATATATATATATATATATATATATATATATATATTGGGGGCGTTAGATCCCCATAACTCACTTGGAAAATGTCCTAATTTTGAACTCGTAATAGATGCAAGCATATCAATATATATATGTATATATTGAATTTAATCCTTACTGAATTATCCCACGACAGAATTTTGTAATATGATCCAGACATTGAGTAGCTATATATAATCTAACATATACAGTATTGAAATAAGTTGTCAAAGTAATCTCTTATTAACAGGATTGCAGAAAAAAGTTAATAAAAACAAGTGCTACAATAGTGACTCACTTTAAGACTAGCACAGACCCAAAATGTGTAACATGTATCATCTGGTTTACCAATACGACCATGAAATCCTTCTTCTTGTAAATTTAATAGCCATTTAATTAACAAATCTCGTGATTTTGAGCCCACGGGAATAACTGATTCTAATTTATCAATAAGAGATAAACTAGCTACTGCACAATAAGTAGCTCCAGCGTGTGCTTCTAAATACGGGAGATTAGCGAATCCACCTTGGTAAGTCTATTGTATGGATATATAGAATTATGAAAAGCATTAAAGATATATATATATATATATATGTTTTGTCATTTGACATCAAAGAAATATGTAGAACATGTGATTACCTGCAAATGTGAACAAAAAAACTGAACAAAAGTCAGAAGTACATTCAAAGAGGATAAATCGGATTGAACATCATTTCCAACAATAAAATTTTTAGTTAACAAAATATGGTAGCTTAATATTGAATGTCAAGCATCATTAAGTCTGCCATATACATCCGCTTTATTCGTCGCCTGTTTCCGATGATAAATACAGAACAAATTCAAAATAATTTAAAAAAACTAAATGTTTTCCACTAAAAATGGTCTTCAGTTTGTATAAAATTGATTTTTTAAAAATTACAATGGAAAACTGCTTACCAGACATTTTGCGATGAAATCAGCTACATCGTCACAATTGATAAAATCTAGTCCATTCAAGATATAACAGCTGGCAACTGCAGAAAATACAAAACGCATATCACGTTCACCACATATATCGCCTGCTTTGAATAGACCAGGTTCATCTGAACACTGCATAGCCGATAATCCAGCCAGAGTTCCATTTCTGTCTACACGAGATAAGTTATCACCAAGTAGTAACAATGTTGAAAGAGCTGAATATACCATTGTTACGTGGCTTCCATCGTACTTCGAACGATTCAACTTAGCCTGAAATAAGAGAAACATTGCGATGAAATCCAGTGAATTAAACAAGAAACCGTAACATGAAAAATGTAGTTTAATTTTCGGATAGGATAATAGATAAAACTTTACACAAAATCTACTACACATTACTGTTAATTCCGGTCACAGATATGTTACCATTGATCCAGCACCTAAAGGTTTGTTAAATCATCCCTAATAAAATATGACAAAATCTATGTATTTATTTACCAAACCCAGAGATCAAGCACGGATGCCGCTCTGTTGATTGAATTTAATTACATAAAACAGCGTTTACATTTGAAATCCTGTCGTTCCCATATCACTAGCTAGACTTTACGAAAAGTATCCATAAAAACGACACAATCTGATAGCCATATATATTCAAGAACCAGAACTTCTGTCTAATGCTTAGAATTGTTAACTAAGATAGTACTAAGATACAGCGATAAATCAATTGAACAGTAAACACTAAACCAATTACCGTCTATTACCCAAAGGCTAAATTTATCACTCAATAGAAAGTTATATAAACTTGTAGTTGACTGCGCTGTATTAAAGGACCAGATGGATGGAGAAATATATCAGTTCTTAATACAATCGAAACTCTAGCGATAAGAGTTTATTTTCCTAAGATTGAGAAGCTTTGAAATTCCCTTAGTTCTGAAATACATGTCTGTTGCTATATACATCACACTGTACGATATTTCCGCTGTACCAAGAAAACTACGATGTATAAACTATCCGGACTTGACTATGAGAACACGAATAAATGGATGTGTACTTGATTCAGCCTTTATTGGGCACTATTTGCGATCTCCGGCAAAAAGTAGTCTCAACTTCTAGGAACATTTAGGAGAAAATCATGTAAGAGCAGTAGATTTCGACAACTTTTAATTTTATTGAGGAAAACACAAGTTATATTTGAACTGACAAAACATCTGTTAATTAAGCTGAAAAGTAAGGTACAATAAGAGCACAAACTGTCGAAGAGTTTACTGTTTAAAGCACAATTTATCTCTTGATTTGGTATGCTCTGCAAATGGTAAAACAACCTACTATTATCTCCACGATTTTTAAAAATAACCGTTCTATATAGGATACATATTATCCCCCTATACTTCATTCACTTACTGACTGATATGAAAATAGAGACGGTTGTAGTATTCTTTAGAACTAAAACTTCCCGAAACTTTTAGATTAATGGTAATTACATCAGGTAACCCACTAGTCTCTAGGGCAAAGACAATGTTTTCGGTAAATATTTTAATATCGAGTGTATTGAATATCTGTGATGTATGGTTGAAACGGTAAGGTAACTGAGCGTTTTTCCTAGTATAAAGCTTAACAACATGAATTATTGTTCGGAGTGTGAAGTCTCTCTGGAACTTGGTATTCCGAACCACTAAATTACAATTATGAGAATTTTATTCTCCATAAATACAAATCTTTTTACCCTTAAATTTAAGTTCACAAGGAATTCACCACAACTCCACGCAAAAGAGACCAGTAAATTAATCGTGATTAATAAAGCTTAGACTTTTGAATAAGTGAATAACAACCATGTATGTTGCGGCGACAGTTTCAGTTAGGGTATATGGGGTTTGCTTTGAGGAAACAAGTCCCATACAGTAATTGATTATTCTAAGACTGTTTAATAGTTAATGATTTAGTTGTAAAACAAACAGAGTCAAGAGTTAAACATATATGGGCATCAAACGAAGCTTTTTATAACAGCTGACTGACCTAATGTAGAAAAAATATTAAACAGATGATAAAAGTTACTGGAGAGGAATAATGATCTGTCTGTTCGATGCGAGCTGCGAAAGCATTTAGCGTTGGAATGATAAAACACCGTATATAAACTACCCTCTGAGATAAGCTGCTTATCTAAAAAAAGATTTTTCTACAATAAATGGAGCAGAATGTGATATGAAAACTTGAACCGATGTATATACGTACGGAGTTCTACGTTGTAGCTGACTGGATGGGAGCAGAAAGAATACTGACAAACAACTTAACAAACATATGTCAATAATTCGTTTGAGCACTATTGAGGTCTACTTAAAGACTATGACAAATCTTTATTCAGTAGATGACGGTCTTACCTTTTCAGGATCTGATGAACAGCCGATAACATTCGAACCTCTGAAACCACCAGTTTTGTGTAAGTCTGAAAAATTTAGACAAAATATTATTATAGTAGCAAACCAGAAGATAGTATCTGATGTGAATAAATAAACTCTATTATTTCGCTTTTATCCACATTGTCTAGTGCATCTAGGAGAGCTAAGCCACCAGTTGCGAAAAATAAAATCACAATCCTATAACAAGCTTATACCATAGTAAATACAACAAACCTTGAGGAGTCGAGGGAAACCATAGAATAAGGAAGTATTCCAGTGCATCTCTTAAAGTAAATCTGCAACTTCTGGCGGATTATATTATCGGAGTCGTAAACCATTAAGTCATAATTTGACAATGCCTATATAAACACAACCTAGTGACCTTGACGGGATAAATTCGATTTTACACGAGAAGCTGACGTTTTACCTTACTATGTCCAAATTAGGCAAAGTGAAAATCACAAAAATGAGTTATGGAGTTCACATCTTAAATATCTGAGATAAATTTAAGGTACTCAAATAATGAAATCGTTCACTGGTGATGGTGAAACTTGTGACAAGACATATCTTTTATATGGAACCTTACAAGTCGAGCGTAAAATCGTCTGCAGAAGAACTAATCCCTCGGAAGTCACTGGGCCGATGCCTCTTCTGACAACCAGAGCAACCATTCTTTTAGGTACATGGAACGTTCGTACATTGTGGGAGACTGGAAGACTATTTCAAGTTGCGGCAGAAATGAAAAGATACAACCTCGAGGTGCTCGGCATCAGTGAAACACATTGGACACAGGTAGGACAACTGAGACTTGCTTCAGGGGAACTGCTGTTATACTCTGGTCATGAAGAGGAAAACGCTTCACATACACAAGGAGTTGCACTGATGCTGTCCAAACATGCACAAAAGGCACTGATAGGATGGGAATCTCATGGACCCAGGATCATTAAAGCATCCTTCAAAACAAAGAAAGAGGACATTACAATGAACGTCATCCAATGTTATGCACCTACCAACGACTACAATGACGACGACAAAGATCAATTCTACGAAAGGCTGCAGTCAATCGTCGAGAAATGTTCACCAAAGGATTTGACGATTCTTATGGGACACCTGAATGCCAAGGTTGGCATGGACAACATTGGATATGAAGACATCATGGGACGACATGGACTGAGAGAAAGGAACGAAAACGGTGAGAGATTTGCGATCCTATGTGCCTTCAACAAACTGGTCATCGGTGGCACAATATTCTCGGACAAACGCATACACAAAGCCACATGGATTTCACCGGACCACACTACTCAGAACCAACAAGTGTGAGGCATCACTCTTCTTTCAATACCTAGCAAAGTCTTCAACAGGGTATTGTTAAACAGAATGAAGGACTTCGTAGACGCCCAACTTCGAGATCAACAGGCCGGATTTCGTAAGGATCGATCGTGTACTGACCAAATTGCTACATTACGGATCATTGTGGAACAATCAACTGAATGGAACTCACCACTCTACATCAACTTCATTGACCACGAGAAAGCATTCGATAGCGTGGATAGGAAAACACTGTGGAGGCTTCTTCGACACTATGGTCTGCCTGAGAAAATAGTTAACATCATACGGAATTCTTATGATGGATTCAACTGCAAAATCTTACACGAAGGACAGCTAACAGACTCTTTCGAGGTGAAGACCGGTGTCAGTCAAGGTTGCTTACTCTCACCCTTTCTCTTTCTCCTGGTCATCGACTGGATTATGAAGACGTCGACGTCTGGAGGGAAGCACGGTATCAACTGGACAGTTAGGACTCAGCTGGACGATCTGGACTTCGCAGATGACCTGGCTCTTCTATCGCACACGCAACAACAAATGCAAGAGAAGACGACCAGTGTAGCAGCAGTCTCTACAGCAGTAGGTTTCAACATACATAAAGGAAAAAGAAAAATTTTCCGGTGCCACACAACATACACCAACCAAATCACTGTTGATGGAGATGCCTTGGAGGACATTAACACCTTTACATATCTGGGCAGCATCATCGACGAGAAAGGTGGATCGGATGCAGATGTGGGGGCACGGATTGGCAAAGCAAGGGCTGCATTTCTACAGTTGAAAAATATCTGGAACTCCAAACAACTTTCAACCAAAATCAAAATCAGGATTTTCAATACAAATGTTAAAACAGTTCTGCTGCATGTAGAGGAAACTTGGAGAAGTAAGAAAGTAATCGTCCAGAAGATAGAAGTATTCATTGGCAGTTGTCTACGCAAAATACTTCGGATTCATTGGCCAGACACGATCAGCAACAACGTACTGTGGGAGAAAACAAACCAGATTCGAGTGGAGGAGGAAATCAGGAAGAAGCGGTGGAAGTGGATAGGACACACATTGCGGAAAGCACCTAACTGCGTCTCGAGACAAGCCCTCACATGGAACCCTCAAGGCAAAAGGAAAAGAGGAAGGCCAAAGAATACATTACGCCGAGAAATAGAGAAAGATATGAGAGGAATGAACAAACATTGGACAGAACTTGAGAGGGAAGCCCAGGACAGAGTTGGTTGGAGAAAACTGGTGGACGGCCTATGCTCCATTGCGAGTAACAGACGTAAGTAAGTAATTCTAATTTTAAGTGTAGTGGCATAAAGGCGTGAGTTACTAATGTCGGTAGGAGTAGGGGGGCCAAGCAGCTCTCGATTGGTAATACTTGTATCAATGACAATCGGGGTATAGCATGCTCATAGTCGGTAAATAGTTTCCAACATAAGTCTTCATTTTCGGTGGACCTTAATAAAATGTTCTGGAAATGGTTGGTAAGTCTCTTTAGAGCCTAACAACAATGTCACTAATTTTCTGAACCTGGTGTTTGCGACAGAAATCCACAGTCTGTTTCACAATGCACTGTTACAAAGAAACTACAGCGCACTGACGTCTTTGCTTTGCAGTCGGTAATACACATGCATAGTCAGTCAGTTAGCAGAGTCGCGGTTCTTAAAGCAGTACAAGTGAATAATGAGTAGGTTTCTAAGACTCATCAATGTAGATACCAGTTGTATTAGATATTTATTCTTTCGGCAGTTATTTAAATGAGAATGAAGAGTATGCGAGCAGAAGAACATTTTGTGAGATGTCATCGGTATAGCATGCAAGGTGCTAACAAAACAGTGACACTGAAAGGTTCCCTACCTGGGAATATTTCTCCAATATATACATCATTGAGGGTCAAATTATTGTTAAAGGATAAATACAAGATATTCTGGTGTTTTGTAGGGTTACTAAGATATTGAGTCCATTTTCGAAAATCCAGGCATTTTATAAATGACCCAAAAAGGCTCCGTTCTTTGATCAGAAGACAGGAAATTTGAGACATTTTGAAGTACCCACAAATAATCTTCTGAATGAACGGCAAGAATGAAGTAAATGATAAATAAATATCCCATGTTGACTGTGTGACTGTAAACACAGTCGAACATTAGTAGAAATGAGTGTGAGAGTTTTAGAATGGTTCACACACAATCTTGTGAGTTCCCTAGATCTAGAAAATTATGTGGAAGGGTTTATGCAACAAACGGCGTGTTCTTAGCATCATTCGCGTCATCTTCGTAACATGTCAATTTGAATTAGATCATAGTTTTTAATAGGCATACTTCATTTGGAAATATTACTGATGATCTATTTTTCAGACATCATTGTAAGCAATGATCGATAGAGATGTAAACATGATTAGTTCTACTCATTTATCACAGATCGAATGAGCGTTGATGAGACAAGTCACATAAATGGAGAATGAGGTACAATGTTATTATACATTCTCAATCCACGAGATTGAACTGATGGGCCGAAGACTTTAGAGAATAGTTCAAATTACTTTCAGCCGCACTTCAGTTACCCATCATCTCCAGTCAACCTGGCATGGTTGAATATGGTAGAATATACTTTCTACGCTTACCAAGTCTTTTATTTCGACTTTGGGTATTCAAGGTAGCCTACCTGGACGCTGGTAAAGGTCTCGTTCGCGTTTATCGACTAAGGTAAACTCGTAATAGCCTCAAGCATACTAAGTGACGAACTTATCAGTGGCGACTGTGCTTTTGGAAATATGGATCCTACCAAACTTGAATTATTACTTGGGCAGCAGCTGAAACTGATGAAGATGTTGACAGACATAAAGATCTCTACTTCAACACAGCCCAGCTCATCTAATGCAACCACAGCTCCATCGGTCGACGGCATCGCAAATAGCATAGCTGAATTTCGTTATGATCCTGATGCAAATGTCACTTTTGACATGTGGTTCCGGCGTTATGAAGATTTATTTAAATTTGATTTCACCAACCAAGATGATGCTTGGAAGTTTCGGCTGCTACTTCGAAAGTTGGGTGCAAGTGAGCTGGATAAGTACTGCAGTTTGATCCTGCCTTTGAACCCACGAGATTGTGCATTTTCTGAGACTGTTCAGACTTTAAGCCAACACTTTGGAGATAACTCGTCACTGTTTAATACTCGATTATCAACGAAGATGATGACGAACGCTTTCAGTTGAAGTCTTTGTCGGAAGATCAGTTCAAAGCCCTTATACTCATCTGCAGCCTCTAGTCGAGTAAGTTTAGTGATATTAGAACAAGTCGTTTGGAGCAAGATCCGAAGCTTACTCTTAATGAAATGGCTCATGAGTACCAACGTCTCACTAACCTTCAACGAGACTCAACTATAGTTCAAAGTGGTAGTTCAAACCGATCTGAAGTTCATTTGGTACAGCAGCCACCTTATCATAATAAGTCTGCCCATGCTACACCCAGTTCATCCCGCTCCAATTCTGCCCGAAAAACCCAAAATGAATCCCCCTTCTGCTTGCTGGCACTGCGGCTCATGGCACTATGTACGGAACTGCCCATTTAGGCAGCATAGATGCAGGAAGTGTAAAGTCATCGGTCATAAAGATGGCTTTTGCCTACGGAAAAAGCCAAACCGATCCAGAAGTGCTAAGAAGCCTGTTCCTAGATACAGTACCAATGCATTGAGCCTAATATCTTCCTGCCAAAGCTCATCACCAGGTGAGAGGAAATTTATTACTCTTAATGTTAACGGGTATTTGTGTAGATTGCAAATAGATACTGCATCTGATATCACTATCCTCTCACGCAAAAACTGGACCAAATTGGGTAGCCCAAGCCTGCAGCACACATTACAAAAGCCTCGTACAGCGTGTGGTAATTATCTTCGTCTGTTAGGACAATTGGAATGTAAATTTGCTTTCCGAGATTCGTCGTTTACTGGGGTATGCTATATAACGCCAGCTGATCTAAATTTACTTGGTTTATATTGGTTCGACCAGCTAAAATTGGCTGATGTCCCGTTAAATACCATATGCAACCTGGTATCACAACCACATGACCCAGAAGCATATACGAAAAAGCTGATGACAGAGTTTTCAACCATTTTT